CCCCCCGTGCTTTTTCATGAGTTCTGGAATACATCGTGCCCCTTGCCCTGAGCCTTCGCACCTGCTGTTCCCTCCACCCAGGACACTGTTTGCTGCCTACCCACAAGGGCAGCCCAGACTCCTCAGCTGGCCTGCGACCCCTTAGGCCCCAGAAGTTCCCCTGACCACCATATGCCATGACAAATCTGCCCATGCCTGTCTCCTTTGCCAGAGCCTCAGATGCTCCAGGGCAAGGCTTGTGTCATTGTTTCCCGAACTGAGCTCCAATCCAGCACCTGACCCAGGTGCTCAGTGTCTGTTGAGGGAACGAATGTCAGCATGTTGATAGGGGTTGGGAGCACCCGTCACAGGTGCAAGGACAAACCCACGCTGGGAATGCAGTGACATAGTAGCTTCAGTGGGGAGGCGCATGGGGCCACGGATGACAGGTTTCACTTTGGGTTTGGGGTGAGAACAGAGGCAGGTTTGACACCTGAGAACCATAGGAATGAGGGAGGGACTTGAATCAGCCAGAGGGTTTCACCTTCCTCTCTCTCTCAGCAGTTCTCCAGCCACAAGAAAACCCAAGGCCTCCTCACTGCATCCTCTCTGCGAGGCCATGACCGACCAACAGTGTGGTCTGACCAGCCTGACGTGAGTGACCGTGCCCCCAGCCCCTCCCCTGGAAGGGACACAGAGCAGGATGCCCTGGGAAGGGAGGAGGTGTGGCTGTGTCTGGGGATGGCTGGGGGGACGCACTGGGAGCCTGTGGCCTCTGGTGTTCCATATTGGGGTCGATAAGCTCTGCCCACACGGACAGAGAGTGGAGGAGGCAGGAGTCCATCACCGGCTTAGGTGCTAGTTAGGATGGGAGTTGACCCTGTTGAAGTGGAAGCCAGGGAGCATTGTGGGGGGCATGGGGGAGACCCGAATGTATTTCCCATCCAAGGGGAGGCTGCTCCATGCCAGATGAAACTGCCGAGCTGTCCCTCTCAGGAGCAGTGGAGGAGGCCAGGCCTCAGCCTCTGTGCCCTTGGCTAATTCAGTCTGTCTGAGCTCCAGGCCCCTCCCCATGAAATTGAGCCAGGAGATTCAGCTCCAGAGGGCTAACGTGAGAATCCATGAATCCACACAGGCAGAAAACTTAGTACGTCCTAGCGTTCCCTAACTGTTAGCTGTGACCCAGTAAACAGAGTCAGAACAATATGGGAGCTGGTGCTGATGGGCTTTGGTGAGAGGTTTAGTCCTGCCACCATGATACGGTAGCTTAGCTCATATGGGGGTATTTCCAGTGACCTGGAAGCAAACACAGGGAACCAAAGGTGATCAGCACACCTGGCCCATCAGTCCGACCACTAAACTAAAAGCACAATGGTGTTTACAACAGCATTTATTTATAATGGTAAAAAAAAAAAAAAAAAGAAGTAACACACTGCCCAGCAGTTAGAGACCAGTTAACTACACTACAGCCCACCTTGACTCAAGCGGCAATTCCACTGAGTTAAGCATATGGAGTGAGGTCCATATGGGCTCTTCATGAAGCTCATAGACAACAGTGTCCTGGGAAAGACTGGCATATGGGCCATTGTGTGCACCCATGGTCATGCCTCCCAGGGACATACCTGACAAACGCAGGGGGTGCAGTGAGGTGGCTGAGGGGCCTGAGACAAAAACCACGTGCTTCTGGACCACAGGCTGTCCCGCTGCAAACTCCCGGACTCAGTGTGCCACGACCTGTCCGAGGCCCTGAGGAAGGCCCCCACCCTGACTGAGCTGTGCCTCCTCCACAATGGGCTCAGCGAGGGGGGCCTGCGTGTGCTGAGTGAGGGCCTGGCCTGGCCCGGGTGCCGGGTGCAGACACTCAGGTGAGGCTGGGTCTGGGAGGGACCAAGGGAGGGGATGGAGCCTCCATAGCAATGCCTGATGTCGACCTTCCCCCAGGCTGCAGCAGCCCGGCCTCCAGGATTCCCTTCAGTACCTGGCCCAAGCACTCCAGCACAGCCCCGCACTGACCACCCTAGATCTCAGTGGCTGCCAGCTGTCGGGACCCATGGTAACCTACCTGTGTGCAGCCCTGCAGTATCCCGGATGCCACCTGCAGATCCTCAGGTGGGCAAGGGTGGAAGGGTGCTGGGGACACACCTCTGAAGCCTAAGTTGGGGTGGGTACCTGGGGGCTTCCCCTAGATCCTAGAGTCCCTCCCAGGGTCCTCCTGAGTGACCACAGTCCCTGGAGATGCACCCTCCAAAGCCCTGGCCCCAGGCCTTGGCCTCAACTACTTTGTTGTCTGGTGCCCATGACCACCGTCTGGGTCAATGATCCCAACACCCTCTTACTTCTCAAAAGCTTGGCTCCCAGCTCCTGCCCCTTTCCCCAGCCTCTGACAACCCCTAACAGGCCATCTTCTGTCACTGTGTACCTCTGGCACAGCCCAAGCCAGTAGCCCCATCATTGCCCCCCACTGCTCCCTCATCATTGCCTCCCGTGGCCTGGATTCTCCTTCTCTCCCAACTACCTCCCACCCTGTCCTGTGTACATGATTGTAGTCTGACCTCCGTGGAGCTGAGCCAGCAATCACTGGAGGAGCTACAGGCTGTAAGGACAGGAAAGCCTGGCCTGGTCATCACACACTCAGCGCTGGACAACCACTCTGAGCCTCCCAAGGGACTCAGCACTTCCCTCTAAGGCCCTGAAGGCCGGCGCAGCCAGGAGGATTCCAGCCAGCCCTACGGAGTAGATCTCCCCATTCTAAGGGCATGAGAATGTTGCTCTCAGCTGTGGGGCCCTGGGCAGGGGGGGAGAGGCCCAGATGGACAGGGCCCCGTCCATGGTTCTCACCAGGGCCCCGGACATGCCCTTTCCCCTACACCCTGGGGACAGCCAGAGACCACTCCTCCCCCTAACCTCCACTGCAGCTCCACCCACCTTCCTCTCCTGGGACCCTCCAGCCATCCCCTTGCAGACTACACCCCTTCCAGCAACAAAATGATGCTGAGAGCCCCCAGTAACTGAGCACCCACTATGTGTTGGTCTTTATCCGGTGTGCTGGGTGCAGAGTGACACCTTCATTGATCCCATCTCCATCTGCAGTATGGGCCCCAGGACACCACAATTCTGCCCCTGGACACCAAGGATCAAGCAGGGTCTGACCCTTGACCAGAGGTAGGCGGGTCAGCATCCCCCCCCCAGGAATTTGGGTCTTGGTATTAGGAGTGAAGCCATCGCTGAGGCTGTGTGACTGAGCCCAGAGGTGTCCACTCACTGTCTAAGGTCTTTGGGAACGAAGATCAGAGCAGAGTGGAGATGGCAGTGGCCCAAGTCTGGATGGCACCTGTGATAGTGTGGGGTGTGGGCAGCCTGCGCCTGCTGATAATAAATTCTCCTTTGCATTTGTCTGTTGGTTTCTGTTGCACTTGGCCAGGCATCCTAGCACTCTTTCCTTTGGTACCTAACTCATCTGTCTGGGGTGGGGCTGTAGTCCCCATTTCATGGATGAGAAAACAGGCTCAGGGGAGCAGACTGACTGCAAGAAGCTGTCCACAGGCCAGCAGTGGACAGCCCTCAAGTCCTCAAGTCTCTGCTCAACATTGCTGGGCTTGGCCAGCTCCTGAGACCCTGTCCAAGGGGAGGGGCTGACTCCCAGGTCCCCTCCACTTCCCAGAGGAAGTGCCCTTCCATAATCAACTTTCAAATCCAGTCACTTATTCCACAAAACAGACAAAAATCCCTGCCCTCCTGGAGCTGCCATTCTGGCAGGAAGACAGACAGTACATATTTGTAGATGGCAGCTGGTAAATGCCATGGAGAGTGATGCAGAGAAAAGGGACAGAAGAGAGTGAGCCAAGGTCTTCCTGTTACCTGTAAGGGGCCTGGGGAAACCTAATTGAGGACGGGGCCCTGAGGATATCCCAAAGAAAAATTTTCAGGCCATAGACGAGCGGATAGGCGCCAAGGCTGTGAAGGGGCATGTCTTGGTCAGCTCGGGGTGCTGTAACAAAATACCATAAACTGGTGGGTTATCAACAACAGGAATTTATTGCCCACAGTTCTGGAAGCTGGGAAGTCCAAGATCAAGGTGCCAGTCAATTCAGTGTCTGGTGAGGACCCTGTTCCTGGTTGCAAGTAGCTGTCTTCTCTCTGTCTTCACATGGTAGAGACCTTGTGTGCTCTCTGGCCTCTTATACAGGCACTTGTTCCATTCCTTTTTTTAAAATATGTTTTTATTGATTTCAGAGAGAGGAAGGGAGAGAGAAATAGAAACATCAATGATGAGGGAGAGCCACTGATCAGCTGCCTCCTGCATGCCCGCAACTGGGGATCGAGCCCACAACCTGGGGAATGTGCCCTGACCAGGAATCGAACCTCGATCTCCTGGATCCTAGGTCAATGCTCAACCTCTGAGCCATGCCATCTGGTCACTTGTTCCATTCTTGATGACTTTTGTCCTAATCACCTCTGAAAGGCCCCACCTCCAAATACCATCACATTCGGGAATAGATGTCAACAGACAGATTTGGGGGACACAGACATTCAGTCCACAGCAGAGAGCATGCTCAGAATGTCTGAATGTCTAAGAAGCAGGAAGCCAGGCTGACTGCGAAGAGTGGGAGAGGGGACCGTGGTGACTTCCTCCCAGTGAGGTGGGCACCACTGCAGGCTTCTGAGCAGAGGGCGTGGTCTGACCTCCCCACTCTCAAGACCGAAGGGCAGAGCAGAAGCAGAAAGCCTGGAGAGCGCTAACCCTGGAGGTCACGGTGGGATGGTGAGAGGGGGCAGGTCGGCAAGGTGAGGCCAAAAGGTCTGGTAGGTGGATATGGGTTGGGGACACTGGTGGCCTGGGCAGCTGGGTGAACAGCCTGGCCTTTGCCTGTGCTGGGGGAGGTGGCAGGAAGAGCAGCTTCAGGGGACAGGGCCAAGCCCCTAGAGTCTGGGTGGGCAGGTGGGCAGTGGAGAGATGGAGGCCAAGAGGAGAAGAGGCTGGGGAGAGCCAGAGGACACCCGGGGCAAAGAGAAGGACACCTCTGCAGGACACCTGGACCTCTCCTGAAGGGCACACAGGAGGGAGCGACCACCCAAAGGCGCCTGCTCCTCTCAGATCCACCCTAGATGTCTTTGAGGTCAAAGACCTCACTGTGATTCTCAGGCAGGTTCCCTCAAGTCCCATCTTCGCATCTGTCACACCAGGTCCTCAGACCCTCCCACGCAGCCTCAGGGGTGAAGATGGGGGTGCTGTAGCCTAACCCACCGGCCAGTTGGTCTCAGGCCT